GAGAGAGAGAGAGAGAGAGAGAGATGGAGAGAGAGAGAGATGGAGAGAGAGAGAGAGAGAGAGAGAGAGAGAATATATATCTATATATAAGAGAGAGAAGAGAAAGAAAGAGAAGGAAGAAGAAAAAGAGAAAGAGAAAGAGAAAGAGAAAGAGAAATAACATAAGAAAGAGAAAGGGAAAGAGAAAAAGAAAGAGAAAGAGAAAGAGAAAGAGAGAGAGAAAGAGAGAGAGAGAGAGAGAGAGAGAGAGAGAGAAAGTGAAAAATGAAGAGGGACGAGCGACGAAAGACACGACGAAGGAAACGCGAGCAAGAGAAACCGAACGGCGCTATGAAACAGGAGCGCCACACTACCTGCTGACGAACTTGCCCTCGAGCGCCCCCCAGACGTCGGTTCTGGCAGCACCAAATCACTCCTGATCAACGCAAAGCGGCTATGATAGAAACAACTGTCGCAGATCATCGGACCATCTAACCTTCGGGCGGCCCGGGCGGCGGCGACCATCACAATGGACATGTGCCTCCGGGTTCCACAACATCGCCCGCGCCATCCAACTCCCGCGGTCTGGCGCGAGAACTTTACGACCCCGTTCTCATGTCCGTTACCTTTGACTCGACGCCCAATCTGTCACACTCAACTGCGTAGGTACTTCCTCCGCTGCATACGTTGCCCTGCAGACGCGCTCTACCCAATGCTCCAAACCGTCGTCGCACTCGCGCACTGGGTGGTCTGGCATTTGACCGTCGTCGGTCGACGCCGCCGAATCGCCAATGGAATCAGACAGTCCGTCGAAGTGGCCACCTGCGGCGATACGCCGTCGCGGCATCGGCAAAATCATACGTAACATGTGCATCTGCACCATGCGCAGTCATGTCTGGATGGTCGCTGACATTGTCCAAGCTTCACAACAATATAATACCGCGGGCGTAACTGTTCCGTGAAATAGCCGCATCGTGCAGTTCAGCAAGTAATGTTTCACTAGTCACTCTTCTAGCCGTGCAAAAAATCAAGTGAACCAACAGAGATTCGATTCTCTAATTCTGGTGCGTGAAATCGCTGAACTCAGTTGACTTGTAGGCCGGTAAAATCTAAATCGACATACCATTTGCCACCGCATGGCTCGGCACCCTTCGCTTGCGCGATCTCCAGCACCCACCGTGCAAATTGTTTCTGGGCGTGAGAGAAGATCAGATTTCGCATCATCATCACAGATGTCGCCAATATGCTCGCGATTTGCACCAACGAGCCTAGCAATAGAATGCTATCGCTGGCGAAACGAAAGCTGGTGAGTCTTCCGCCCCCTGGCCGCATCGGGACCCCCATGTTTTTGCGCAGCCACTTCTGCTTGACGTTCCGCATGGCGCGCTCTGCTGTGCAGTTGCAGAAGACAAAACCAGAGGATCGCCTTGTTCCAGGCACCGCTCAATGTTAAATATCCTCTTCTGTCGTTTCAGACCGACGCAGTCCGTCCACTGCGTAATCTGCAAGCGCACGCACGCACGCAGGCGGCGTACCCTGTTGGAGCAGGGAGCCCCACATACTCTGGTGACTGACGCTTTCTTAAGCCTGTTCGAAGTCGACCGCCGCGATCCATATAAGGAGGGTCCACTCGTCGGCGTTTCCGTGAATCTGCGCATGTGGTCTGTCGCACTGCAATTGGGTCGAAAACCCGCTGTGCCCCGGCTTTGGCGAGGAGCGAGGACCGGGAGAAGTCGCTCGCACAGCGAAGGGGAAAACAATTAATATCGCATAAGGATCGTGGCAGTTCGTCTATAGTTATGAGGGCGCTGTGGGTCAACACTTTTGCATGCGGCCTCGATCGCCGCACGCGTCCAAATGTCTGGTGTCGGGCTGCCCGGGCGCAAGACATCGTGGAATAAATCAAGCAAAACGTGTTGTAGAGCCTTCCAGCCTGACATGAGCATCTCTGCAACGATGCCTTCGGTGTCGGCCACTCTGTTTGCTCTTAATCCGTTTACAGAAAATTCCACTTCAGACATAATGAGTCGTCAGCAACCAGTGTCGCGTGGGTTGGCTTGCTGGTACCGAGATACAACTGCTCGTAGAACGCGGCAGAGACATCCACGATTGACTGTCTGCTGCGGTGTGTGTGTGTCCTCCTCGATCAAGCATGGTGGCGATTAGCTGTTTATGTGTATGCGTTTTGGTGTCGTTGACTTTCTTCAGCTCCGTGCATTGCGTCAGGATGTGGTAAAGCCGAGCTCTCTGCGCGACCCACCTGGTGGCCCAGATCTCCTTTTTTGATGGCCGTGTTCAAAAATCGTCGGTGCGTTGTATGTCGGTGGAGTCGCACGTCTGTCGCACAATAGGTCGGCCACGTGCTCTGTCGTTTGTTGTTACTTCCTGTTGGTCGTTGCGGCGATTGTCGACTGTACTTCCCCCATGGTTGCTTTGATAGCGCCCTCGATATCTTCGCACTTGGGATGCAGTCGGAGAACCAAGAACATGTGATCAAATTTGTCCGTCAATCTGGTCGGATACCGCGATACGTCTCGCAGGGGCCATTTGGGCGTGCATTGTCACACTTTTCGCTTGAATTGGTTGCGACGCCGTCGGCATTGGCATCTTCACAATCGCCCCGGTGGCTCTGTGGTCGCATCCCAGATCGACAACACCACTTGACTCGCAGTCGCGACGTGCAGCCCATACCCTTCCGTTGAACAAAAAATGGTCCGTCTGCCTTCGAACACGCTGTCGTGATGTGCACGTGTACACATGCTCCGGCCTTTTGCGAAAACATGCGTTCAGAAATCGTAGACTGTGCTGGGCGGCCCACTGCTTGAGCCACTGGCCGCGCACACTCATGTCAAACATGCCGTGAGACCCACTCGATATGTGGTCATCTTCGCCCGTGGCCCGTCCAACTCTGGCGTTGCAACCTGCTCCAACGAGAGACATCATTTCTGTCGTCGCAGCCTGTTTCTGCAAATTCCCAATTATGTCGTGCATCGTCTGTATGCAGCGGTCATGCGGAAAGTACGCACTCGCCAACATCAACTTTCAGCTGCCCCGTCGCACGTCGATGTACATAATTCTCTTGTTGATATGTCGAGTAACTCGTATTGATTGTACCCACCGTTTGTGTATAATGATTCCCACTCCGCAGCTAATAATACTGTTCCCTGATCCCACAGAAGCGTGGCCGTCCCACTCCTCCTTTGAATCGCTCCACGTCTCGTTTGCCGTCATAAAACCACATGCTGTGCCTCGCAATTCCTCGAATAGTTCCAAACGCGCTCTGCCGTCGTAAATCCACGCACGCTTCTGTCTAATGCCGTAAATTGTGTAGGTAGTGTCGGCTGCGACCCGGAGCTGGTTCCAGGTCCCGGAGGTCCCAGTGCTGTTGTCGGAACGCCCTGGGGTCGGTCATAGCCTGCGTTGAAGGGAGCGTTGCTGAATACCCTGAACCTGCGGCTCAAGATGGCGATTCTGAACAAAATCACAGAATGTCGATGGTAGAAGGGTCCGCTCAGATGCTGGAGTCAGAAGGGGTAAGGGGAAGTGTGGGGAGGGTGGAGGTTGTAAGTCGGAGTCTTGTCTTGTCGCATGAGGGTCGTGCCGTTGACGTGGAACATCGTGCCTTTGGAGATCATGATCGCTCTGAGTGTGGTCGAGCTTCGGAGCATCGGTGCCGCTGGCAGGCAACTTCTCGCTGGAGTCGGAGGTGGTGCAGCTTCGACGTAAGATGCGTATATAGTGGGACGTCACCGGATGTACTGGTGTAGGTGTCGCCAGATGGCCCGGTGTAGGTCTTTCGTCCACCACCTCGGCTTCCTGGCGCGTCAGGCTGGACGCGGAGAGTCTCCCGAGAAGCAGGCGCGGTGCTATCCGGGTCGGGGGTGGGAGGGAGGCTGGAGATGGAAGTCTGGGGGTCCGAGGTTGAAGGCAAAAGACTGCAAGTTGGAAGCCGGGGCCGGAGACACAATAGTCTGCCTTCAAGGCGTGATCTGGGCCGAAGGCGGCGTCGCTGGATCCGCCAGTGGCGAAACATGAGAATGTACCTCACACACCCGTGGTGGGGATCTCTCCTGGGCTGCTCCTGAAAGGGTCGCTCCTCTGGGAATGTCGCCCCAAACCGATGCCTGTGATTCTGGACCATCGTCTGAGGAGTGCCCTGGGAAGGGAAGAGGAGGGGAAAGATGATATCTTCATTGCCAAGCCCGCCGCCTTCTGAGAAGACCTGCCCCTTCTCACCGCCCCCCCCCCAAGACCGCCGCCCATTGGACCTCGCCGCCAGCGATGCGATCGATCCGCCGCCGCCTTCTGCAAAGACCAAACCACCTTCTGAGAAGCCACGCAGCCTCCGGAGCAGGCCTTCTCCTTCTCACTGTCCCCCGAGAGATGAAGGCAACCTCTTCTCGCCGCCTCCTTCTCGCTGTCACCTTCTCCTTCTTGCTGACCCTTCTCCCTGTCTCAATGAACCGACCACTATCCCCATGGGCGTGGCCCAGGCCCCACTGGCCAGTTTACCATCCGGGATGATGGTATATAGCCTGCTTCCTTCGGGTCTCGAGGGATGTATCCTCAATGGGGCGCCGAGATGGTGGGGGTCTGGATGGGGATGGGGATGGGGACAGGGGCAGGAGAGCCCAGAATCGAATCGATAAGTCGGATCGGCGATCGAAATGAATCGGATCGGCGGAAATCGGCAGGCACGCAGGGGGCCGCCACCGACTGCACCTCCCTCCTTCCGCGCAGGAGAGCACGGCAGGTAACTGAGCGCCCAGGACGCCACGGAGGAAAGGCTCGGCGGAGGCGGCCGCGGCCGCGGCCGCGGCCGCGGCAGCAGCGGGCGCTGTGGCGGTGTCAGCGGCAGCGGCGGCCGCTGCGGCGGTGGCAGTGGCAGCGGCGGCGACAGCGGCTGCGGCAGCGGCGGCGACGGCAGCGGCGGCGGCAGCGGCCGCAGCGGCGGCCGCAGCGGCAGCCGCGGCGGCAGCCTCAGCGGCGGCGACAGTGGCGACGAAAACGGTACCGGCGGCGGCAGCGGCGGCCGCGTCACCAGCAGTGCAGCGGGGGCGCCTCTGAGGATCGGCGCGGACCGACCCGTCCAGCTCGTAGATGCTGTCCCCAGGGCCCTCGCTCGGAGGGGCAGCTAGGAGGACACCAGCTATATACCCATGCCGATCCTCGGCAGGCCAGCCCTGGGCCAAATATCGGTGCATGCACGGACCTGGCTTGCTCCTGCCTTGACGACACGAGCCAGGGCCTCAGACACAGCGCGAACCGTTCAACACCGAGCGAGCTGTCCTCTCGAAGGCCGTCAGAGGCTATCTCGGCTCGACCCGTGGCCCCGGGGCCCGCAGCGGGACCCCCGCAGCGCGCCGAGGCGGCACGAGGCCACCGAGGGCCTCTTCCGCTCCAGGGATCGATGCCCCGGCCCCTCCCGCACAGCGTGCCGCGTCCACCCACGGGCTGCCATTCGATACAGTCGGGGCGTTGACCTAATGAACCCTAAATAAGGAACGAGGCCCCTTTTCTCGAGAAGTTAAACTTCGATTTCCCATCGAAAACATAAGGAAAACATGAGGCAAGCTGTCAAACAATTAAGGAACAACGAGCCCCTCCCCAACGAAAAGGGTTCCTTCTTCAGGGCCCCGACTGCAGGGCTGCTGGGGGCGCCCGGGCACGCGCGGCGCACCTCGCGGGAGGGCGCGCCTGGCTGGCGTCTGCACTGGCTCCCGATGGCCGTCGACCGCGACCCCCGCCCTGGGAGTGAGCGAGCACAACGTGCCGCGTCCACCCACGGGCCTATGTTGTTCCCGTCCTCCTTCGGCAATCAATCTGTCGGTCACCCTCTTCGGTGCTGGTGCCAGCGGTAATCTGTCGGTGCCAGTGGTGATCTGTCGGTCGCCCTGGAAGCCAGAACATTGCCACCTTCACCGGAATCGGGATCTTCTTCCCTCGGTGGATGCACACCGCCGATATTGGTGCTGGTATCCATCTCTAGGCTTATGTTGCTCCCATCGTACTCAAGGACCACATCCCAGAAATAATTCCGAGCACCCAGAAGAGTGCCAAAAGAGCGCCGAAAGAGTGTCGAAAGAGCGTCGAGACGAGTGTCTCCCATGGGCCCGACGCGTGCAGACCCTGGAGCTTCAGCAATTTTGGGTGGGGGGCTCAAAATCATTCCTGGTGATCAAGGCCAAAGTAGGTTGGAACATCGTAACCACGGGCACGAGAGTTGGAAGCTGGGCGAGGGCTGCTAAAACCGTGGCTGCTAAAACGGCCCTCCCGGAAGCCAAAAACAGCTTCCCGGAATGAGGCGCGGCACGCGACACGGTCCACGGGCTTCCTCCCGGAAGGACGAAGACAACTTCCCGGAGGTCGACTTTAGCAGCCACGGATCTAGCAGCCCCTGCCTGGCTTCCGAGAGAGAGCGCCCTCCCGAGGACGAATATGGAGTATAATTGCGTGATCAGAAGACGGTCGATCTTTGAGATCATCGTGTCTTTTTGTTGTCTCTCGCGATTCTGCGGAACTGGCTTCGAGAGCGTCTTCACCTCGGGTTCGAAAGACGACCGGCATTTCCACAAGGCAAAGATTTCGTGTTTATCGTTTCGATCAGCAAGAATCAGGAGGAAAAGAAACACACAGACACAATTAATCCTCGATTCCCAAGAAAATATGGGAAAATATGGGAAGTGGGGGGGAAGACAAAAACCCAGAAAATATGGGAAAATATGGGGAATCTTTTTATTTGTGTGTATTTATTTGTGTGTCCCAGTTCCCCTTCAAAGAAGCTGAATTACATCTGCGGAATCCGCCCGCGGAGCGGCCTCGCCCTGGGACCTCTTTGGCGACGACCGACGGCCCCCGGCGAGCGCACCGACGGCCGCGCACCGCCACGACGACCGGGGCGCCGACCTCCTGGAGGAGCAGACGGGCCCATCGACCCCGCCGCTCCCCGGCAGGGCTTTGGGCGAAACGTTAAAATGATCCCAGTGCGACCCTACCTAGGAGTTGGAACCCCTAGGAAAGCAGCATTGGTAGTAACAGTAACGCTGAGCTAAAGCTGAGCTAAACGCTGAGCGAAAAGCTGAGCGAAACGCCAAGCTAAAGCCAAGCTAAAGCTAAGCTAAAGCTAAAGCTAAAGCTAAAGCTAAAGCTAAAGCTCCCAGGGGACTGGGGGGAACCGCTCCCAGGGGACTGGGGGAACCGCCCGGGGCGCTTTCCACTGCCCGGCCCCTTTAAGCTAAGAGAGTAAGAACCCTTCCAGGCAGAGCCTAGGTAGGGAAATGGCAGAAACATGCGCCCCTAATGGTCAAAAGTTGTCAAGAAAGCGTCCCCAGACTATCTTGGGGACCGTTTTTGAATATTACCCCCTGCAGAGGGACGGGCCCGACTTGACGCTGGACGCCGTTTCTCTGCGCCAGTTCTCGAGCCCGATCAGCCTGTGAAGGAGGTCCCTGGGCCCGAAGCCCAGCGACAACGCCCGTTGGGAAAGAGCTGCGGCGCCGAGGCCATGCCTTCTCCCTCCCTGGCAGGGCTGAACCCAAACGGTGTTCTTCGTTTTCGCTTCGTTCTCGTCGTCCCTCGCTTTTGCCTCCTGTCCGCCCCTGCTGCAGCACGAAGCCGAAGCGAGAGCGGTTCACGACGTCACCAGAAACACCGTCTGGGTCCAGCCCTGCTCCCTGGGCCGCTTCCGAGGTGCGTTCTGCCCGGGATGCCGACGAGCGTCCGGCCGTGGCGACGAGGGGAGGCTAGCGGTATCGGTAGTCCTTCCCCCCCTGAACCTCGACGACGGCGACGACCACGACGACGACGACGACGACGACGACGACGACGACGACGACGACGGCGACGTCGACGACGACGTCGACGTCGACGACGACGACGACGGCCACGGCAAGGACGACGACCCCTCCTCGAGCCCGGGGGGGGGCGCGAGGCCTCGAGGCCCCACAAGTCCGAGCTCGTTGGCGCGTCGCCCGCGGGCGCCTCCGCCGCCTGGGGCGCGGCGACGACGACGGCGACGATGACGACGACGACGGCGGCGGCGTCGGCGGCGACGTCGGCGGCGGCGGCACTGGCATCGGCGGCGACGGCGTTCACGAACGGCGGCGGCAACGACGACGACGACGCCGACGACGACGACGACGACGGCGGCGACGACGACGACGTTGGCAACGTTGGCAACGTTGGCGGCGGCGGCGCGGCGACGGCGGTGACGACGACGACCGACGACGACGACGACGACGACAACGATAACGACGGGGACGACGACGGCGACGGCGACCACGAACGGCGGCGGTGAAGACGACGACGACGACGACCACGACCACGACCACGACGACGACGACGACGACGACGACGACGACGACGACGACGACGACGGAGGGAGGGAAAGAGGGAGGGAGGGAGGGAGGGAAGGAGAGAGAGAGAGAGAGGGAGGAGAGGGGGAGGGAAAGATCAGAGGGTTGCTCCAAGTCGGCCCCCAGATGGCTCACAGACCGCGCCAAGTGGACGTTACGACCACTTCAGACAGCCCCAATACCATGCAACATCGAGGTCGGGGCCAACATAACTCCAAGAGGCTTCGAAAAGGCCCCAAGACGGGGCCCAAACGCCAAGCCACGTGCGCGCCGAGGCGGCAAACAATTCAGTACTCCGAACACCCGACGATCGGGAGACTTGCGCGTCAGTGTCCCCTGGGAGCTAGCGGTGACTCCTGCTCTGCGGGTTCCAGTGACATGCAACGCGAAGCCAAACATTCGACGTCGCACCATATTTCACAACGTGGGCTTGGGAGTCCCACCAGCCCTCTTGGCGTAGGTGGTCCAGGGGGGTTCCTCTTCCATCCCCTTTCTTCCCCTTCGGGGAGGGGTTTATCACTGCTCCCTATTAATAAACACCCCCTCCCCCAGGCGACTGGGAGCCAACCAGGGTCCATGCCCCCCCCCCACCATCCCTGGTAAAAAAACAATACAAAACACACTCTGCCTCCAAATTCTGAACATGCTCAACCAACCCGATGCGCCCCCCCCCACCATCCCTGTCAAAAAAAAAAAAAAAACGATTACACTTGGCGGCGGCGGCGGCTGCGGCGGCGGCGGCGGCGGCGGCTGCCGCGGCTGCGGCGGCGGCGGCGGCGGCGGCGGGGGCGGCGGCGGCGGCGGCGGCTTGGCCCCCAGTAGCTGCCCATCCAAATACGACTGCTGAATATGCTGCGGCTCGGGCCAGACTCGGGTGCTACGTATGTGTTGGGAGGGCGGGTGGGAGTGAGCGAGACGGCTTGCGGGCGGGGGGGGGTAGCTTGACACCTCCCCCCATACCCCCTCCCCTGGACCTGGACGAAGGGGGCGGCGAGCGGTCAGGGCGTCCAAAACGGCCTCGGCGAGGAAGCCAAAATCGCCGGTTGTATTAAGGTATTGGCCCCAGTTTGGTCTCTGGGGGGGCAACACGAATTGCGGTCATCCCCTTCTTTGTTCGATGTCCTCCAGGATGGCCCCAAGAAGCACCCAGGAGGCCCCAAGAGGGCCCAAGGCGGCCCCACGATGGCCCCAACAGGCCCCCAAGAGGCCCCCAGGAGGCCCCCAGGAGAACCCCAAGCGGCCCCAAGAGGCCCTCCGAGACACCGAAGACGCCCAAGAACCCCCCAGGACCGCCAAAGGACCCCCAACACGTCCTAAGCGGCCACCAAGGAGCGCCCAAGAAATATCCCAAGAGGCTCCGAGGGGCATCCAAGAGACCTCTGGCCTGTTTGCTTGCCCTCCTCCTCCTGCTTCTCCTTCCTCGTCCTTCCTCCACCTTCCTCCTCCTTCTCCTCCTCCTCCTCGTCCTCGTCCTCTTCTTCTTACGATTACAAAGTATGATGAATAGTGGCATTCTTCGTTTGAATCGACTTCGCCTTAATTCTTGTTTAGTATTAGTTTTCTTAATCATATGATGCTTCGTCTTGTTAGCATTAGTAGTAGTAGCAATAATTTTCTCAATATTATTACTACCCTTAGTAGCGTTATCATTCGTATTATTAGGCGCCTTAGATGTAATAGCATTCGTCTTCGTATCAGTATTAGTTTTCGCCTCACTATGTTTACCACTAGTAATATGATTGCCCGTGCTCTTCTTAATAGTGGTATAATTGTTAATAATAGTAACGATAGTATTGTCATTCGCTTTCTTATTAGTTCATATGAACTGTATAATTATCCATCATACTATGAAAATTATTATTAGTGTTCCTCCTCCTCCTCCTCCTCTTCCTCGTCCTCCTCCTCCTTCTCCTCCTCGTATTTTTCTTGTTATGCTTCCTCCTCCTCCTCCTCCATCTCCTCCTCCTCCTCCTATTAATCTTCCTTATCCCCACTCCCTCATCCATCCATCCAGCCGCTTCCTTCTCCACACCCTCCCTCCTTCGCACGGTTCGGCCGTCCCCCTCGTTGGTCCCGCACTTCCCTGATCACCCCAACTCGCGTGGACATCGTTTCTGGATGGGAGGGGATACGCGAAGCGTCTAGAATTCTCGACCACATCGCTGGGACAATTTCTCACATGACAACGAGCCCCGAAAAGGGCCCCAGACGCCAATATGCATAAAACGCTTGTCGTGCAGCGCCTCGAGAAACGCCTGGATCAGCACACCCATTCTCTTCAAAATCGGTTTACCAACCCCTCCTGGACGCAATCCCGAACAGCTGTCCGAGATGTGTTCGACCGGGAACCCAAAGGGAAACCTCAAGAGAAATGCGTAAGAACTATCAAAGCAAGTGGGCCCCTGGCCCCAGGGCCCCTTCCACCAGGAGCGCGCGCGTGGCGGAGTGTGTGTGGGCCTGTGGATTCCAAATCCATTCAATCTCGATACTCGAAAAGCGAAGAAATTCCAAAAACTTCGGGCCTCGATCCTCGTCGAAATCAGCCTTGTCCTCCTCCTCCTCCTCCTCCTCCTCCTCCTCCTCCGCCTCCTCCTCCTCCTTTTCTTCGTCCTCCTCCTCATCTTCCTCCTCCTACTCTTCTTCTTCTTCTTCTTCTTCGTATTATTCTTCTGAGTCTCAAGAAGTTGTTCTAGTTGTAGTAATGGGATTATGGTTATTGTTAATATTAGTACTAGTGTCAACGGTATAATTGGTATGAGTGTTAAAACTTTGATATTGCGTATTACTAGTATTATTAATATTCCGTTTACTACTACATAGTATTATTCGCATGATTCGTCTTATTAGTCTGGTCGCAGTAGTTTCATAGTGCGCGTATTATTATTATTCGCATTATGATGCTTCAAATTAGTAGTAGCATTATTAGCATTATTATTAGTATGTTTCTCATTATTCGTCCGACAAGTACTGTTATTAGTGCTAATATTCTTATTACTGCTTACTAGTATTCTTGTTACTACTACTATTCTAAATGAGATTATTAGTGTTCCTCCTCCTCCTGCTCCTCCTCCTTCTCTTCATCCTCCTCTTCCTCACTCCCTGACTCACATCCTCACTCCTCACTTCCTCGCACCTCCTCCTCCTCCTTTTCCTCCTCCTCCTCCTCCTCCTCCCCTTCCTCCTCCTCCTCCTCCTCCTCCTCCTCCTCGTTTTCCTGCTCCTTTTCCTCCTGATTATCCTCCTCCTCCTCCTCCTCCTCCTCCTCCTCTTCTTCCACCTCCTCGTACGACTCCTCCTCCTCTTCCTCATATTCCTCCTCCTCTTCGTTTTCCCCCCTTCCTCCTCCTACTCCTCCACAAACATCCTCGTCATCCTGATCCTCATCCTCATCCTCGACCTCGTCATCCTCCCGCAACCCCCCCCCCCCCACACCCCCACACCCCCTACCCCCGACCCGCCCACCCGCACGCGCTAGGGGAGGAGGAGGAAGAGGGAAAAAAAAGGAAGGAGGAAGAGGAGGAGGAGGAGCGAGCGAGCGAGCGAGCGAGCGAACACCTCGGGTGCCCTGGCTACGCAATTAAGCAATCACCTCATGCTTTCATCGGGCGCAGCGGGATTCTGAGACGGGGTCTTCTAAACCCAACGCGGAGGAAAAACAGACTACTCTTCAGACCCTGCCTGCGCTCCCCTCTGGAGCACAGGCCCGCGAGCAACCCCTCTGAGGCACGCAACACTGCGGGCGGCGCCCACTCGGGCGCGAAGGCCTCGCACGCCGTCACGACGCCCGCACCCACCACGTCCGCCTGGCGCCTCGGCCGTGGCCGGGAAGATCACCAGTGGGTGGGCAGGCAGGTCTTCGTGAGAGTAGCCATTTGCCAACGCGGCCCCTGATCGAGCCCTAGCCACGGTCTCTGCACTGATACTGCCTCGAGCTTCCAACGCCGCAAATATCTGGGAGCTGCTCAGAAAATGGCTCCCGTCTCCAATCGATCCCTCCATCACGAGTCGACAGAGCGGGATGAGCTACTTCGCGCGGTTCACCATCTTCGCGATCTTCCTCTCGGCCCCTGGGTGCCGAGCCGGGCACTGCCGTCCCAGCCTCGTGCTGGATCACCTTCACGGCGTGCGGGCGTCAAGCCAGGGCTAACTTCGTCTCCTTGTTGAAGTTCGTGGTCACCAGGCACTGCCGTTCCTGGCCCTCCTCCTTGCGCAGCACCTCCAATCTGAAGTAGAGCGCCGCCTCCGCGATGTCCTCCATGCCGCTCGAAGCGATATGGTTCCCTCACACGTATGTGGCCTCGAGCGCGCTGTAGGGAACCGAACTCTACACACCGAAGTTGTTTCCGGCTCCGCACCGAAACTCGCACTTCAAAGCGGATCCTGGTGTATACGGGATCCTGGTGTATACATTTGTGGCTGTCTCCCCTGGAACATGCTGAAACCAGTATACACCACACGACCCCGAGGTCGTCCCCGACCCTCAAAAGGTCCCGGGATTGAAAAACAGCCCGCCACTGGTAATGTAGATGTTCCAGTTTCCGACGTTGGTCTTCTCGTCGTCGTGGCCCTCCGCTGCCGTGCGCTCCGCCGCCGTACTGGAGCGCCGCCAGGAACACGTGAACGCGCGGTGGGACGCGCTTCTTGAACTGCTCCTGCGAGGCGGATGGCCTTGCTGTCGTTCTCGTATTTGGCGCGGAACGCCCCATCTGGCGAAGCCAAGCCCTTTCCACATGGTCTCAAAAATGCACGAAGGGTTGAACGTGCGCCGTCGGAGTTTGAGCCCAGAGCTGATACCATTTCAGTCTCCTCAGCTGGAGGTCCGCGTGGACTCCACGCGACTACCCGACAACCGCCAAGAAGGCAGAACCTGAGAGGTTGTCATGCTCACCTTGTGTCCTGTCGATTTTTCGGCGCACGCCTTCCCTAGCATGGCAAACCTGCACAGGGCCGCCATGCGGCTGTCAAGCTTGCTATAGTCTGATTCCGTCAACACCAAAGGTTCGAGCCCGCTCAAAAGAGCACTGCCCACAAGGCCTTGGAGGAGCTCCCTGCGCCACTTGTATGGCAGATCCTACGACCACACCCATCCCAAGCGAAAGAAGGCCTGCCGAACAGCATCACACCTCTGAGGGATCTCGCGATGTTAGGGGCCAAAACACCGTACACACTGGGGCACCTTGCCCCGACATTGGCATGGACCCCTGGGCGGATCTCTCTCAGAATCGACTTCGCAGGCCTACACTGACTCGCAGAGTTTCAAGGCAATTCTTGTTTACCAGCATGTCGACAATGACCTCCCCAGATAGTCATCAAGCGTCTCGTCGACCCAACACAGTTTGCGCAAGACGTCTGAAACCGTGCTCCCAAGATCCGCCACCACCAACTTGTCGAAGTCGTCAGCATGTCTGAGTCGGCTCTGCTGGCAGTTGGTGCCAGCTCGATCTCAAAACCGCGGCCCAACGGTCGTGTGCAAAAACGTGGTGTCCCCATGACGTTGTGGCCCGTCCGAAGGTCCCCAAGAAACTCTGCACTGTAAAGGGGTCTTCCATCACAACTCCACACCTCGGACGCACACAGAACGGGCCCTCGCAAGACTCCAACTATAGAATCGCATTCCCGTATCCCTGTCTGCACAAGTCGGCATCGTAAGGGGGCGAGCACAAGGATGCTGTCGTATCCAGCTCCTTCCACATGGAACTCGAACAGGCATTGCGGAGGTCTTCTGGCGACAAGCAATGAGTGTGACCCCTGCGTCGCAGCCGCCAACTCGCCACTTGTGCGGAGAACGTGAGGAGGAGGCGGAGGAGGAGGAGGAGGACAAGAGCGACGACGTCGACGTCGACGTCGACGTCGTGGTCGACGACGACGACGACGACGACGACGGCCGAAACGACGGCGGCGGCGAGCTGGCCTGCGACGCGTCGGCCGACAGCGTGCCGGTCGGGGGGCCCGGCAGGGCCACGGGCCTGTCCCGGGCGCCCTCGGGCACGGAGCTCCGCAGGACGTTCTCCTGGCGAGGCGAGGGGGCAGCGGCGAAGGGGCCTCCTCCTCCTCCTCCTCCTCCTCCTCCTCCTCCTCCTCCTCCTCCTCCTCCTCCTCCTCCCTCCTCCCTCCTCCTCCTCCCTCCTCCTCCTCCTCCTCCTCCTCCTCTTCCTCCTCCTCCTCCTCCTCCTGAGTAGTGGTTTGACGGGAAGGAGGCGGAGGCGGAGGAGGGGAGGAGGGAGGAGGGAGGAGAGAGACGAGAGGGAGGAGAGGGAGAGAGAGGAGGGGAGGGAGGGGAGAGAGGGGGGGGAGGGGGGAGGGAGGTGGAGAGGATGAGGAGGAGAGCAGGGAGAGATGGAGAGAGAGGAGGGAGGGAAGGGAAGGAGGAGGAGGGAGGAGGAAGGGGGAGGAGAGGAGAGGAAAGGGAAGGAGAGTAGGAAGGGGCGGGCCCTCAGGAGCCTCAGGAGGCCTCAAGGGAAAAACAAAAAAATTAAAGAGGGAGTCCAGGGGACAAAGGCCCTCGGTCCTCCCTCCGGGATCGTTCGGCCCCTTGACTCCCCCCGGTCGTCTAGAAACCAACGCCCTCCTTCCTTCCTTCATCTCCTCCTCCGACTCCTTCTCCTCTTCCTCCCTCCCTCCCCCCCTCCCTCCCCCTCCCTCCCCCCTCCTCCCCTCCCCTCCCCCCCTCGTCCCTCCTCCCTCCTCCCTCGTCCCTCCTCCCTCCTCCTCCTCCCTTCTCCCTCCCTCCTCCCTCCTCCTCCCTCCTCCCTCCTCCCTCCTCCAGCCGCCGTCCTGGTTCGCGGCCCTGGCTGCACTTCCAGCGTAGCGCGAGCCTCACTACCAGACAGGCAGCCATACGTGCCAGCCAGGGACTATCTCAGGCCCAAGCAGGCCGTGACACCCCTGTCCCAGTTGCGCAAGCTCACCCTCCTCCTCATCCTCCTCCTCCGTTTCCTCCTCCTCCTCCTCTTCCTCTTCTTCCTCCTCCTGCTCCTCCTCCTCCTTCTCCTCCTCCTCCTCCTCCTCCTCCTCCATTCCTTCTCCTTATAGATAACTCCTCCTGTCGCACCCCGAGGCCAGTTTTTAGGGCGGGCAGGGCGTTTCGCCTGAGACTTCCTCACCATGTATGACTCTGAAGCTTAAAAAGGTGACAGCAGCTTCACAGATGGAGGGTGGGTGATTTTCAAAATGTGGCCCTCGCCTTAGCGCCGCACACATTCGCTTTAAAATGTTGCAAGAGCTCCACGGACTGAGGGCGGGTCGTGTTCAAACTGTGGCTCTCGCCTAAGCGCCGCGCACATTCGTTTTCAAAATTGGCAAGGGTTTCACGGATTCCCATGGTCAACGTAATTGAAATGGCGTGTTGGAAAGATTCAAGATTATGCGGGTGCAACAATTATGTTGGCTCGCGGTGTTGAAGTCCCAGCAAAGGCACTCTGGCACGCTTCCGGATCGTCAAGACGCACCAATCAGGTTGATACGTGGCGTCAAAATCCCGAGAACAATGCGTTGGCATGCTTCAGGATATTCAAGCGGTTGTCTTCCAACGAGGCATTTCCTTCAATGGAGATGAACCGTTGTGGGGGGGCCTATGACGGGGGAGTTGGAGGGAGGGTGAATTCCAACATCGTTGATGACTCTTGGTTTTGCACTGGTCCTCCTCCTACTCCTCCTCCTCCTCCTCCTCCTCGTCCTCCGTAGCCATTTTGGCTCAAGCCAGCCCTAGAGGTTCTGCGCTACGCACCATGGCGACGTCGGCGGCGGCTGCACACGCTGCCTCCCGCGCCTGCCGCGCGGCGGCGGCCACCGCCCGCGCGGAAGGCGCCACGGCGGCGAGCGCCGCGTTGGTCGCAGCCGCGGAGTCGTGCGCTGCAGCCGAGACGGCCGTCCTGGCGCTCGACAAGCACCGCCGGGGCAGTCCGGAGCTGGCCCAGCGGCGTGCGGCGGCAGAGGAGGAGCTCCTGCTTCAAGAAGCAGGCCAAGCAGCGATGGGCGTATGGCCGCACAGTGCGGGGACGCTGTCGAAGACCCTGCACGCGGCTGGCCACTCCGAGGCAGCCAAAGCGGCCCGCCGTGTTGGCCGCAGGGGCGGCCGCGGCCGCCACGGCCTCACCCCTCCCGCGGACCTCGGCCTCCAGCAAGCCCGCGATGGCGCACTCGCGGCCGCGGCGCTGGACGGCGTGCTGAGCTCCGCCAAGAAGGTCAAACTGCTGGCGGTCGGCCGCAACGACGGTGAGGACGACTCCCTGAATAAGATGGCCGTGATCTCCGCCTTCATCCAGCGCTTCCAAGACAAGATCGACGCCCTCCTCGCCCAGAAGGACGAGTTGCAGAAGAGCGTGTCCGTTCAGAACGGCGAGAAGTTCCAGATGGGCCAGAAGATGACCAAGGCCACGGACGTGGCTCAGGTCAACAAGACGGAGGACAGCTTCAACAACCCCGAGATGGCGGAGCGCCAGGACGAGCTCGATGCGGACGAGTTCGAGGAAGCGCGTCACCTCGAGGAGTTGGAGGGGACGGAGTCCATGAACCAGTGCGAGAGCAGCGTCGCCACCCTTTCCGACGGTGTCGACGACACCATTCGCATACTCAAGGGTTTCAAAGAGAAGATTGAAGCCCTCCATGCCCAGCAGGACGTGATGCCGAAGGGCGTAACCGATAAGAAGGCCGATAAGATGCAGCTGGTTATGTTCGCCGAGTTTTCCGCCTTCATCCTGCGCTTCAAAGACATTGGCGACGCCCTCCAAGCCCAGTATGACGAGTTGCAGAAGGGCGTGACCGATCTGAACGCCGAAAAGATCCAGACGAGCCAGAATGTCACCAAGGCCGGCGAGGTGGCACAGGTCAGCAAGACGGAGGACAGCCTGAACAACCTCGAGGAGACGGCGCGGCGGCACGACTTCGAGGAGTATGAGTTCGAGGAGGGTCACCTCGAGGACCAGGTGGCGGGGGCGGAGTCGACGTCCCAGGGCGAGAGCAGCGACGTGAGCCTCTCTGACGGACTCGTCGACACCATTTGCAAGCAGAAGGGTTTCCAAGAGAAGATCGACGCCCTCCATCCCCTTCAGCACGTGTTGCAGCAGGGCGTCACCGCTAAGAAGGCCGTTCTGATGCAGCAGCATCAGGCCCAAGGGAAGTCCCTGCACGACCCCGCCAAGCTGGAGGAGCCGATGAAGAAGGACATCCTGTGCGACCCAGGCTGCCAGTCCACCAACGAGGTGACGGGGAGGACGCAGGCCAGCGTCATTAACAAGTTCGCGAACGGTGACAGGAATATTATCGACTCGGATCGCGTCGCCTCCCCCCTCAAGATGGATCCGCAGCGGGACCCAAAGCCGCCCTGGGAGAGCGACTCCGACTACGACGACGACGACCTGCGCGCCGCGAAGCTCGCTTTCCGAGCTCGCCTGGGCTGAGCTGGCGCGTGCTCTCGGCGCGGTCGTGCGCGATGACTTTGTGGACCCCTTGCCCGTTGGGCTGCGCGGGGTGCGAAGATTTCCGCGCTGCTCTGGGTCTGGGCGGCGCCTTGTGGCGCAGTGCAAGCACTGTTTTCCGAGTAAATTGCCCAGGGGAGGGCCTGTCGCAGCGTGCCGTGGGATGTCGCCACCCTCGGCATGGCTGGCAAAATTGTTGATGGCCCTCCCCTGGCACCTGTCTCCCACGAACGGACAACGTCCGATTGCTCCACTCCTCCTCCTCCTCGTCCTCCTCCTCCTCTTCCTCCTCCTCCATCCTCCTCCTCCTCCTCCTCCTCCTCCTCCTCCTCCTCCTCCTCCTCCTCCTCCTCCTCCTCCTCGCCTCCTCCTCCTCCTCCTCCTCCTCCTCCTCCTCCTCCTCCTCCTCCTCCTCCTCTCCTCTCTCCTCCTCCTCCTCCTCTCCTCCTCCCCCCATCCTCCTCCTCCTGCTCCTCCTCCTCCTGCTCCTCCTCCTCCTCCTCCGCCTCCTCCTCCTCCTTCTCCTCCTCCTCCTCCTCCTGCCCCGCACGCGTTGTGGGAGAATGGCAGAGGATGGAGGGAATCGTGTCCTGCGTGCCCATGGCGAAGGGCATGCGGAACATCTGCCTTGACTCGACCTTCTCGAATGTCGACGAGTATGTCCTGAAAGGCTGACGGGCACAAAAAACGGACGGCCACTGACAGGCACAAAAAACGGCCGGCCATCTCGAGGTCCCGACCGCCACGGCGACACGAAAATATCGGCGTGCTTCGCTAGTTTCAGCGTCCGAGTAGGAGGAAGAGAAGGAGAAGGAGGAGGCGGAGGAGGAGGAGGAGGAGGAGGAGGAAGGAGGAGCAGGAAAGATCATGGCTACTGTAGATGTGTCTGTGCGCCTTTGCACTTCTTGATTGTTTTCGGGCCTCCGGAGGTCTCTGGAGGCAGGGATCTCTGGGGACTTTCAGAGACTTCCAAAGACCTCTGGTACCTCTGGAGACTGGACGAGTTCGCGCCAGTGGGCTTTCGGCCATTCCTGGTGTCTGGAAACCGTTTCTGGGCCCTGGTACCGTCAACAGAGAGCTTGGGATGAAAAGACGGTCCCACGGCGGACCTCCTGCAAGAGTCGTGAGCAAGGGCTCCCAACTTCGCGCTTCGCGCTGCGCGAAGCGCGAAGTGCGACAAACTTCGCGCTCTCGCGCCGCACCCCCAAGGGGAGAATAGGAGGACGAGGAGGAGGGGGAGAAGGAACGAGGACCGCGAAGCGCGAATAACTTCGCCTCGTGGGAGCCCTTGGTGAATATGTCGTTGCGGCGGCCAGTTGTTCCCGAGTTTGGGCCTCTCGGAGGGGAACGGGGGGCGGGGGCGCTTCGGGCCCTGGGACACTCAAAAGACCCTCCACGACGAAGTTCGACCCGGGGGCAACGTCAAAAAAGGGCGAGCAGGCACGAAAAAAGAAAAAATCAGGCCGGCGGATGCGTTTGTGCCCTGAGACGGGGGGGGGCGAGGCGGGAGGAGGGGGGAAAGCAGCGCGTGGGGGGGGTCGAGGAGGAGGAGGAGGAAGAGGAGGAGGAGGAGGAGGAGGAGGAGGAGGAGGAGGAGGGGAAGAGGCGAGGAGGAACGGGGCAGGGGGCAGGGCGCGAGGCCTCTCTCGGAGCGGGCGGCCAGAGACAGCGGGCCACGACCCGCCGGGCCGCACGAGGGCGGATCCTGACCGCCCGGCGGCAACGAGGAGGAGGAGGAGGAGGAGGAGGCACGACAGCCAACCCGTGTAGTAGAGATGCGCGGTAAGGATGCAGAGGGCCTTGGAAGGCCATGTCGACACTTTGAGTGCGCGGGGCGCGGCCAGCGAAAGCGGCCAAGGAGGGGCCGGAGGGGAAGGATGCAAGGGTGACCTCGGAGAGTTGCTCATCCTTATTATAATCTGCGGGTTGACTGTACGGTGAAGCAGGGGATGATAAAGGCTAGGAAGCCAGCAGAGGAAGCACGCGCCCAACCACGTGCACGAATACGGCCCCCGTCTGCGAGGCCAGCCTCGCGACACGAGCGCTGGCGCAATGCGTACACGTTCGGACAGGGGGAGGCGACAAGCTCCACGGCGCAACTCCCAAATCCACTCTCGGACGCTTCAAGTATAGCAAGATACCCTCCAAGACGGCCCCAAGACAGCCCAAAAAGGACTCGAAAACTGGTGTAGTGCCCCGTGTTTGTGGATCGATGGCCTCCAGGATGGCCCGCAACAAAAAGATATAAAAAAACAAGGCCTCAAATAGGCACCAAGAGACATCCGAGATCACTCCGTGAGGCCTCCCAGTGGCCCCAGAAACCTCTAACTTCAGCATGCTCTGCCTTTCTGTCCCAAGGGGATGCCAGCCCCCTTCCGGAGGCCGGCGGGATGGCGCAAGCCTCTTGAATAGTGAGACGCTGCCCTGGTACTGTGAACGATACAGCGAGGTGCACCTGAGGGGAAACCCGGAGCACCCTAAACGCAGCAGCTCCTTCAACGGCTGCGGGAAGTCACCGCGCAGCGCGAGGAGCGAAGAAACCAAGGAGACCCTGACAAAAAGCACATGGTTTCTTGATGCGCGCCCCCACTGTAGCGCCGCGGACACAGACCACGGGCGGCAGGAACACGCGGACACTCGGAGCACCGCTGGCTCGGTCCCACACGCCGCAACGGATGCGCAACGCTCGCGGCGATTTCCCAGGCACTGCTGGCCGTCTGCCGCCGTCGACAGAATGCGCCGCGGCAGGCAAGTGACAGCATTGCGCAGGGCGCGTGCTTGGGCAGGGAAGTGACGCGGACGACTGACCGCTGCAACGCAGGCCTCCCTGTCAAGGACTCTGCGCTCCCCTTCCCCTCAGGCATGCAGCCTGGTGACTCCTCCTCCTCCTCCTCCTCCTCCTCCTCCTCCTCCTCCTCCTCCTCCTCCTCCTCCTCCTCATCTCCTCCTCCTCCTCCTCCTCCTCCTCCTCCTCCCCATCATCATCATCATCATCATCATCATCATCATCATCATCATCATCATCATCATCACCATCATCATCATCATCATCATCATCATCATCATCGTCATCATCACCATCATCATCATCAGCAGCATCATCATAATCAGCATCATCAGCATCCTCAACAACAACAACATCATCATCATAAGCATCATCATC